GTACTTGTCCTGGCAAAGCGGGATCATATAAACAGCCCCTTATTCAGCAAATTGTGCAGACTGCCTTTGATCCCTTGGGGGTGAGGCAGCACTTTCCTTGCGATAGTAACTTCTAGTTTAATTACTATTTTCCATATTTTCATGCTGACAATACGTCAGACTCCGTGTTTTCCACATGACTCCGTGTTTTCCATATTTTTCTCTGACGTCAGACTCCGTGTTTTCCATATGACTCCGTGTTTTCCATATTTTTATTTTACGTCAGACTCCGGGACTCCGACTCCGGGACTCCGACTCCGGGGCTCCGACTCCGGAACTCCGACTCCGTGTTTTCCATCTAACCATTCCAAATACTTTGTTTATATTTTGCAACTTGTCAAGCATGCGTAGAACTCACGTTGGATATCCAACGTACTGAGTGTATCTAAAAGTCGAGGGTCGAGAGTCGAGAGTAAAGGTCGAGAGTCGAGAGTAAAAGTCGAGAGTCGAGAGTAAAAGTCGAGAGTCGAGAGTAAAAGTCGAGAGTCGAGAGTAAAAGTCGAGAGTCGAGAGTAAAAAGTCGAGAGTCGGGAGTAAAATGTCGAGAGTCGATCGAGAGTAAAAAGTCGAGAGTCGACGAGAGTAAAAAGTGAGATCGAGAGTCGGCAAAATTGTCATCAGAAACAACAAAGTCAAAATATTTTTAACACAATATATATTAACCGATCCGTAACAACGGCTGATTATAGCCGTACGGGCGGGGAGGGAGGGGGCAGTCCTGCGCTCCAGTCAAAATAAAGTCATGCAAATTATAAACGTATAAATTCGGGCAAAAATTGGGGGAAATTAATTTAAAAAGAAGACAGTACATGCAATATGGTATTTGAAAATTTTTGTCTACTTCCCAACGACAATTTTGGAAATTTAGTTACACGGAAAATTTTATTCAGTGGGCAAAAGTCGGGTAATTTTCTTTCTGGCTCCCTGATTTTTCCCGCCCGTACGCCTATGACGGCTGAACTAATTTCATTTCCTATATCGGAACATAAAGCAAACAATATGAGAAACATAATTAGTATGCTCAAATTCTCGAAATTAAAGAAAACAAGAGGCATATACAATCAAAGGAATAATCCAGTATAATATAAAACAAAAACTTTCGGAAAAATTTAGCCACAACATTCAATAATAATAACTATTATCTAATAACTAGTTTTATCGCTTCCTTATATATATAACTGTCCATCCTTCCCGCTTTTACATGCACCCATTTCCGCGAAAAATTACTCATATCACATATGTGACGCTACATATAAATACTAGGACTTTGCAATCACGTGCGAGACATATGACCACCCGATAGAGTCACAAATACGACAAAACAATCCTATTTTTACTGGCTCGTATTTATGAATTCACAATTGTATGAATCGTTAGATTGTGATCAACGTGGATCACTTAATACGCTCTCGTTCATGGCCCGATTGTGCTCGTGAAATCCAAAAAAGTTAGTGCTCGCTAAAGCTAGAAAGTTGCTCGCTAAAAAGCATAAAAGTTGCTCAAAAGTTGCCCGAAATAGAAAAAAGTTGCTACTAAAATTCAAAAAGTTGCCCGTACGTATTACGTTAATCAGGAGATTTATACAATTTTTGCACGCTCGGATGAACTTCTTGTAATTAACAATAAACTTTTTAAGTTTAACAAATAGCAATACAAATGTCATACAAATATCAACACGAATACCTAGAATAACAAATCTTCCAATAAAACAACATCGCAAGTGTTGTCTTTATAGCTCTGCGTTTCTTACGCTAATTATTTCCAAGTTTGGGGTTCGACGAGAGAACACAGCAACCCTAGTCCCCTAACAAGCAAATACCAAGGGAAAGCAAGGAAGCAGCATGCATTCAAGGGTGTATTATTTACAGCATATTACATAAAATATTTAATTGAGCCTGAGCACATCATATATTACCCTGTACTGATACAGAATGTGCACAGAAGTATATCGCAGAAAATGAAGTTGTAAACATTTCAATATTTCAAGCTGTAAAGTTTTAATTTTAGTAAAAAGTCTAAAAGTTGCTCAGAAATTGCTCAAAAACGAAAAAGTTGCTTCAAGTTGCTCGAACTGAAAAAAGTTGCTCCAAACGCAAAAAGTTGCTCAAAAGTTGCCGAGCACAATCGGGCCATGCCTACTCTCGTTTGATATAAACGTGCGTTAATGAATAAGTGACATTTTAGAGGGTCCTGAAGGGGTAAAATGGGAACTGGGATTTGCTTATTTTTGGGTGGGAAAATGGGATTTCTTAATTCAGGCATTGGGACTGGGATTCATCAGCAAAAAAAACAATAGAAAATGGGAGTGGGATTAAGATTTGAGCAGGACAGCCACTGAGATGATGCGATTTGTGCTCTGGGACAATGGGATTTAGTCAAAATTTGGGCTGGGAAATGGGAATACAACCTCCCCCCCTCCCCCCTCAGGACCCTCATTTTAGTTACAAGCCTGGAGATGGCTGTCAAAATTCAGCGGAGTTTATGTGTCAGTTAGAATGAAATGACATGTGAAAACCTTTAGCAAGATTGAGGCATCAAATGCGACATTTGTATTTCAGCCGTTGGTACTTGTTACGGAATGGCTATGTAAAGCTATATATAGATTGTGTTAAACGTGGTTAAAAATATTTTGACTTTGTTGTTTTTGATGACATATGCCGACTCTCGACTTTTTACTCTCGATCGACTCTCGACTTTTTACTCTCGACTCTCGACTTTTTACTCTCGACTCTCGACTTTTACTCTCGACTCTCGACATTTACTCTCGACTCTCGACATTTACTCTCGACTCTCGACCCTCGACTTTTAGATACACTCCAACGTACTATCTGCCGTTAGCCAATCACAGACCTGAATCACTCTCCTCCGCAGAGTCTGAATTATATAGGATTTGTAGGGATAGTAGAGGATACTTAGTGGTACGCGACGGGGGGGGTGTGAGATCGATGGTTGACAAAATGTAGCTTCCTTACGTAGCTTCCGTCTTCCCATCATACCTTGCGTAATTTGTCCCCCCCCCCTTTAATATTACGCAATTTTACTAAAAATTCGTAAGGCTCTGCGGAGGAGAGTGGGCCTGAATCAATTCGATTTCTCCAGAGCACAGAAAAAAGATCAGTACCAGAAGGGCCGCTCAGCGGTGCGACGTGTCACCATTTTTCTATGCAAAAACATGCAGTTGACTGGCCAGAAGGCGGGGCCTTCAGCCAATACAGCGCGTTTATTGGCCAGAAAATGTAATCGACTGGCTAGGAAGATGGCGGCCAAGTGGCGCTTCTGTGTGCCTTATTCTGTGCTGCAGAGAGCTATGCCCACCCTTAACCTGCGAACGGGCATGTTCGGGGAACGAGATTGGGAAACCGCTTGCAATATAGCCTGCTCGCAGGCCGTTGTCAGGCAGAGGCTGCATGGGAGGAACGGCCTGCGACCTTTATTAGTAAAAAGTCGATTTATGCGTACGGAGCGTACGCAAAATTCCCATTGGTCAGAAGTGCCCCATGAGTTAATATCGTGCAAATATTTAACTCGTACGACATTTCGCAATGTAATTTTAAAGCTGGCATTCAATCAGTGGCGTATAAAACCATGACTTTGTTTATCTCTTCGAAGAAGTATTAAACTGAATGTATTTGAGAAACTTTCAATTTAAATTAACGTTGAAGGATGAGCGAAGGTTAGCAATATTAACTGTACTTCCAACGGGATTTGATAAAAGTTTACATGTAATATACCGATACTTTGTCTTCGTCAGCTATAAATATAATAAACCTTTTCCAAAGAAGTACAAGGGAAAACTTCGACGTATGCCTTGCTGATCTTTGCAGAGAGAGTAAAATAAGTCTAGTTCAGGCTGACAATTTATCTAACCGCGTTTACATCACTTGCGGTTTCAAACGTTGAACAACTTAAGGTTAGCCCAGCGAGACGTTCGTTGAGACACAGGCAGTGAATCAGCTAGTATAAAGCAGTTGATTGTCAAATGCCTCCGAACATTTCTCCCAACTACTTCCCTGTCAACCCAAGGCTTTCTGCCTAAACAATCTGGTCTTGAATAAGTCAAGACAATGGGCAAATTATTAAAACAGACGCCGTCGAGGAAAGTTGTTCTTAGAACACCTGGCCAATTTGAATTTACACCTGGAAATTTTGCAATAGTCGTTTGCGTGTTCTTTGACCGAAGTCCTCTCTCTCTTTGTGACTTTATTTTTGGGAGTTTCAACTAGTGACATATATTATTACAACAAGAGCTTTTTACAAAAAAATGTAGTTATTAAACACGGCAGAATCGATGCCACGGCCACGGGTTTTCAAATTGTCTATTGTCTATTGAGTTAATTGTATTATTGAGCAAATGACAGACTTCCGCAATAATGATTAATGTTTTTTAGCCTGCTATTGTTCGACACTTTTAATAAATAGTGTTTGTTACTTTGTTCAAAACCTAAATACGTTTCCTTAAATCTTACAGTTATATTTTGGATATCAATATATAAAATACATTAACTAACAGAGTAAAAATTTTACGTCTCTGTAGTATAGTTACATAATTTAAAACGGCAATGTACGAACAAGACAGCAATATACAAACGGGACTATGTTTTAAATATTAGAACACTTTAGGGAAAAAACGACCATGAATTATTTTAGATTAAAGTTTAGACCTTGGAATCCTAGTGAAAGATACAGACGTAAAATTGCGCGAGAAACTGTTTGTTGTTGTTAATAACCTCTGGTAATCTAATTAACAAAACTTGCTTTGATTGGCTACTATTTACCGGATATTCAATTATCTCAAAGGGGGCGTATTGAAAAAATATCAATAAAAGTCGCAGGCTCTATATAATAGAGCCTGTGAGCAGGCTACTTGCAATACGGCGGATTGGAACCATAGATTGGAACCGAGTATTAATTTTCCCGCCAATTTTTGGTTCAACTTTTTCCGTACGGATATTGTTTCCCAACAAAAGGTTGACAATGGAGTGGAGGAAATTGTGGAAATTAATCGAAATTTCTTTATTTTTTAGCCTTTATTTGCAAAATGACGGTCACTAGATTGTTTTTAAGGATATCTAACATCAGTTTATATTTCTGGAAATATGTTTGAGGGTTTGTTTGAGGCTTAATAATGGCTACAACGCGAATTACGATACCACAAGAATGGAGGCACGAGGAACGCGACCTTCAAGAAGTCATTCCCCAGGCTATTATATCCTTTTGTAGTTTGTAGTTTGTAGAAGATTTTAGAAAGGTGTAAATTTGTGGACATGAGTATATAGATATATGCCAAAAATAGTTATTATAAACAATATAACATGACATTTTAAAAAGTAAAATGTTTATTATTTATAACGGCGAGCTCAAATATAGAGCCCTTGTTTACGTTTTCTGGGAGGCGAAAGTCTTTAAGTCTTGAACTTGTTATTGAAATATGCATTGTTAAATCCAATTATCTTTTGTATAATCCGAATTTGCCTGCCAGCAAAATGTGAACAAGGCAAGAAGTGTATGTGCATTTAATAATTAATAGAAGTATAAAAGAGAGGCTCGCATGAATAAAACTAGCTAGTCATTTGCCACACATGGAGTGGGATAATAAACCAGTAACAAAGCCCTGTTAGGGTGGGTATGAATGTTGATCGTTTCATTTTCAAAACAAGCAATATCGCCACTTGAAACATTCCCATGTCACAGTTTCGGAATTTTTGCTATTGTCCTCTACCATTTTCATGTCACAGTGTTTGTGTGAAATGTTGCTACTTTTATTTTTCATAATATGTCACCATTTTAACATTTACAGTAACATTTACTTTTGAGATCATGTATAATTTATTTGGGAACTGGATTAGCTTGGCTTGCCGGTATCACCTAATAGTTTGTGGGTTTGATAATAGTAAAATATACTAGGATATGTCAAGAGGAGGAGGGGTCATTAACATTCTATTTCCTCCATCTGGAATGACCCAATAATTCACTGCTCATGTGGAATTTACCCTACCAGGGCCTCAGTAACATGTGCAGTGAATTATTGGGTCATTCCAGATGGAGGAAATGGAATGTTAATGACCCCCTCCTCCTCTTGACATCCTAGGATATTTTACTATTATCAAACCCACAGCCTACAGTATTAGGTGATACCGGTTAATACCTAGGATCTTTCCACACTCAAGTGGGAACTAATGGCAAGCCAAGCTAATTCAGTTCCCAAATAAATCAATCATACATGATCTCGAAAGTATATGTTACTGTAACAATATGTTCAAAGAGAATGCCCTTCATCGAGAAGATAGTAATGTAGGTTGGGAAAATTACATGAGCTTTTATGTACTAGTTAATATAAAAGCGGACAGACTCTACAAGATTATACCAACCTAATAGTACTGTATATATTGAGTTTAATTAATAAGAGTAAACAGTTACTGATAGTTTCTTTAACAATAAGTAAACATTATTCCATGAAACATTGGAACATAAAGAAAAAATTGGTATGTCTGTTGAAATTAGTTTCAACTTTCAAGAACTGTTACACACTGCATATCACTTAAATTTTGATTTTGTTACAAACTTTAATCTTTGCAGATGTTTTAACATTTCTCTGTCATGGATTGCTGCCAAAATTGTCTCTGTCAACTTTGGAGGAAACTCTCTTGTGTCATGTGTTTCCAGATGTAAGTCACTGCTACTTACTTGCACTGCTGTGCATCTTTAACCCGGCCATTAAGTTGCATTGCACCCTAATGCACCCGGCTTTATTATTTTACTCTGTCTAACACCAGATGATTTTACTTGTCAAGGAGAGAGCACCAAAACAAATCTATGACATCACAGGCCAGTAAAATATGTTCAAAGATTGCAGTCACACCAAAGTCATAAAGCTCGCTGTTCAAAATAGCTGAAATCATTATTCCATTGCCTAGGGTTGGGCGATATTTTGATTTATCGCGATATTTTCAATCACGATTATCGTATCGGAGGTAGAAAGTTGAGCGACGATATATCGAAATTATCGTCATGCTCGATGACTATCGTGATATTGCTTCGCATGTGTATATAGCAGTTATAAAATCCTAAAAAATTATTTCAATTCCCTAGAAAATATAGTTTTTAAAAGAATTAAAACTATTTCCTGAATTAAATACGAATTTAATACAATACAAAAGCTAATATTTATGTATTAATCTGCTGAACAATGGAATTGCGGACACTGCATAGGCAGTTCTATTATGAACAGTAAATATTAGACTAGAAAAAGTATTATTCATAATTCACTTTACTAATTTGTTGTTTTAATAAAATTATATATATAAGCTTACTATGCAATGATATTAATTAAAATTGAAAAAATGTGGTCATTGTTTTAATTGCATTTATCGCGATATTATCGAATATCGTGATAATTTCCTTGACAATAATCGTGAGACGATTTTTTAAATATCGCCCAACCCTACCATTGCCTTTAGAATCTAGCATACTGTACAAAGAAAAATATGAAGTTTTTAGAGTCCTGTGGACTAGCTGTCAAAAAGTTTACCCAGCATCTTCTTTTCATATAAAATAAACTGAAATATCTTCTAACCAAAGAAAGATATGAAAATTTTGTAAGATGACTTATTCTACAGTTTAAGGAGTTGTTTCAGTCTAAATATTTAAATTTTGTTGCTCATACCCTTTAATCAGATTATCTGCCCATGTGTCTAATGCTTTATTATTTTTACTCTGTCTAATGCCAGATGATTTTACTCATCAAGGGGAGAATGCTAGCTGGCACCCAGTGAGTTAAAGCAATGCTATGTATATATTTTTGCTATATAATTTTGAAGTATATAATATTTTTTTAGCTACCATTGTATGTAGACAAAATCTTCCTTGAAATAGAAGATATTGTCCAGCTTGAAAATGAACTTGAACCAAACACTGCAATCAATAAATCACAACTTTTACATGATCTTCTCTTGGTATGAATGTTGTCTTGATCCATTAGTATTTTGATTATGTATTTTACACTGTCTAACATTAGAATATTTTACTAGTGAGTGCATATAACAGGGAAGCTGTATGTGTAAAAACCCAGTCAACATCCAAATACAAGCTACAGTAAGTGTAGTTTGTGTTTGATCTCCCTGAAGAAGTTACTACAGACCTTTTCAGTAAAAGTCCTTTGCCTGAAGGGGATATGTACTCACCAGTAATCTCCAGGCAATGGGTCTTTCCTCGAAATGTCGAACTGTTTTGAATTTTTTTCTAAAGTGGTTCAGGACTGTTGTTTCAAACTTAGTCTACTCATCAGAAGTTTTGGGATGGTAAAAATTAATTGGAGCTCCATTGGCATTCACTTGGCCCCACCTTGTTTATGTTAATTAAATTTAGCCTTTAGTGGAGAAATTTTTTAATTAAAGAATTCTACTTTGCTATACCTAATCTGTGATTTCACAATCGCATTTGAACCAAATCTATCCAGTTACATACTAATTTCCCAAATTTCTATATGACATTTATGTTCACGTGAAAATCAGTTGCGCTGCATGCAGGTCGTCATGTGACAGCCTTATTGAAATGTACCCAGTATATAGGCCAATTTACACTACACAACGTTTGCCTAAAACTGACTGGCGAATGCAAACTGCTTTCAACTTGAGCTGTGTACTGTGTAAGTCAACACAACTTGCCTACGTTGTCGTAGGTGAGTTGTGTGCTTGATTTACACAGTCAGTACAACTCAAGTTTTAGGCAAAAGTTGTGTAGTGTAAGTCAGCCTTATAAAATCCTGAAATAACACTTTAAATCTCTGCTTTAATTGTTTGCTATAAGGTGGTGTTAACTGTGTTAAACTGCATCGAAACTTGCGTGAAGCATATTTACGAGACATTTCAATGTATCACCATCCAGCAAGTCAACTCTCTACCTGGATCAGTTTTGATGATTGTTAAATCAACATTTTCTCATTGCCAGGTTTGTGTAATTTTATGTCATATTGGGAATTTTTTTTTGGGAGGGGGGGGGATACAGTCATTCAGACCAAATACAGGCATAGTTCAATAGTTGGTTGGTTGATTAGTTCCTTAATATCTACTGAGTTATGTAGTTAGTTGCTGTATACAGTACATCTCTTGCACTTTAATTACCTGTGGCAAAACATTGCATATATATTATGAAAGCAAAGAGAGTTCTTTATTCGCTCTACTGAGTATATAGCGGTTTGTTTCAAGTTGCTCTCCAGATGTCATGTTATAAGGTCAACTGCAAGTGGGGTCTATGACATTGTTTAGTAGGGAACTGACAAGCAAGACTAGGGAATATAATATTTGGCTGCAAAGAACCAGTGACGAGAACCAAGGTCAATTCAGAATTTAGAATAGAGCAAGGTGTTAGATTCTACATTATAACAGTACTTTATATGCAAACATTTGGCTTTTCATTATGCAAAACTCGCCTCTATAAACACGTGCACAAAGGCACGCTCCTCAGTGAGGTTTTCTGATCAATGCGACAATGCCGTATATGTGTATACAGTACATGACATGTCATGAAAAGTTATCACATACCGCACGGAGCGCTTAGGAAGATCGACGCGCTGTAGCACTAGCCTAGAGCAAAAACATTGTATGACTCACTGTTGGCGGAGCTACTGCGAAGATTTGAGATTTTACTCAATAAAATACTGTTCAGTGTTGTATTATCAAAGCTATCAAGCATGGAGACCGACGCTGAATCATATAGCAAGTTAGGTAAACCACAATACGAAATGGGGAGTGCATTTATCCGAGAGCTGGAACTCTCAAAGAGCGACAGAGTTGTAGATATGGGTTGTGGCACTGGAGATATTACAAAATTTGCTGCGGATATCATCGATACAGACGGTAAGGTCATTGGTGTCGATCCCGATGAAGCAAGGATAAATTTTGCTCAAGAGAAGTATAAAGACGCTTCTAATATGCAATTTCGTATCGGAGACAGTAGAGTAGGATTTCCACATCATAATGAGCAGTATTATGATTATCACATTAGCACGAATGCCTATCACTGGCTGACTGACGACGAGAAATTGCTGTATTTACATAAAGCTTATGAATGTTTGAAACCCGGTGGTATACTGGCTATATTGTGTGCTGAAAGTGGATTAAACGACGGCCAACATATTTTCCCTGAATATTTAACAATGGAACAGCATACACAACTCTTCAACAAGCTCAATTTATTCACGGATGTCGTTATTCATCGAAGGTTATATAGTACGAGCTTTGCTTCATTTCTTGAATTCCAACGTTGGTTTGAATCTGCGGCTTGCCAAGATTTGGATGAAATGCAGCCAGAGTTTTTGAAAAATGTTTTACCTAAATATCTCAAAGAAGAGACGGATGGGAGTTTTACAATGCAGTTCCCAAGTTTTATTATCAAAGCAAGGAAATAAGTGGCTCAATCACAGATTATTGAAGAATTGCCATGGTCATGGAGAGTCGCCGTTTATGGCGATTTATGACGTCATTGCCGTTTAGGTGTCCGCATAAGTAAGCCCTGGTCAATCGAGAATGAGAGTTGATGGGAATTTGAACCAGTTGAAAGTTAATGAAAGTTGATGAGAGTTGACTGGATCATGGCCGGATTTTGAGGGGAGGTGTGGGGAGGTGCGCGCCTTCCCTGAGATCGTTTTGCGCCTCCCCTGAGAAGTTTTGCACCTCCCCTGAGAAGTTTTGCACCTCCCCTGAGAATTTTTGCACCTCCCCTGAAAAGTTATGCACCTCCCCTTGGGAAAGTTTCAATGATACATCAAAATGAAAATTTGACATTTTTTGGTTGCTTAGTGTCCACAGTGCGTAAGAAAGTTTTTCTGTAAAATTGAAACAGTGATAGCCATTATCTCTGTGAACCTGACCGCTGGACCTCCCTTAATTTTTTTCCACCTCCCCCACTATTTCTCCTAAAATCCAGCCTTGGACTGGATATTACCAAGCGGTAGCGAAAACTCTTATTAACTCTAATTAGAATTTGAACCAGTTGAAAGTCAATGAGAGTTGATGAGGGTTGAAAGTTGAAAGTCAATGAGAGTTGACTGGGTATAATACCAAGCGGTAGTGAAAACTCTTATCAACTCTAATTAGAATTTGAACCAGTTGAAAGTCAATGAGAGTTGATGAGAGTTGAAAGTTGAAAGTCAATGAGAGTTGACTGGGTATAATACCAAGCGGTACTGAAAACTCTTATCAACTCTAATTAGAATTTGAACCAGTTGAAAGTCAATGAGAGTTGACTGGGTATAATACCAAGCGGTAGTGAAAACTCTTATCAACTCTCATTAGAATTTGAACCAGTTGAAAGAAAAAAAATGTAATAATTCAGATGAAAGGAGAAATTCAGAGGAAAAACACACCATGACCTCAGAAGAGCAATTATAAGTGCAACCATCTTAATAGTGCAATAGTGTATAAATGTATTAGACTATAGAATGATGTAACAAATGTTGTATATGGCAAATGCATTTTTAGATGCATGTTTTCAAAATCAGTTTTATGTCAATATTTTAAGATTCTCAGTAGACTGAAATAATTGTTTTCTGTAAAATATACTTTTAAAATATAGCTAGCATTTAAATGTTCTCTTGCGGTCCCAGAGAGTAAAATATTTTCATCCCTGTGCAGGAGAGTCGATGAGAGTTGGAAGTCAAACGCGAGCGAGAGTTGAAACTCTCATCAGGGCGCTTATATCATATATATATCTTATATACACTGGATAGTGCATCTAATTATTCTGCAATTCAAAAATTGAAGCCGTGATTGCAGACTCAGGATATTCCCATGAAATGATAAGATTCGTGTGTTTTCTATTTCTTAAACAGGGAACTTAAACATTAAGTCAAACCTATTCCAAATACATTTTTAAACTATTCAAATGATGAAAGTTATTGTTGTTTTTTAAGCGTTTATTAGCGAGTGGGAACTACCAACATGGCCGCCATCTATTCAAATGGGGGTAACCGCTGGAATATTCTTGGCTTCAATTTTACTGAAAGAGATGTGCTATCTAGTATATATAAGATATCTATGGCTTATATAGAGCTTTTTTTTAAGCGCCCTGCTCTCATCAACTCTGATCCACGTTTGACCGACGCGGCGAGGCCTTAGAGAGGTTCGACTCTACTTCCCTGAATCTTCCTTCATTTCCTTATCGTCTTGGTGTTGTATTACGATCGAACAGCGTGTTCGCGTCGACATGGTAAGATTTTCCTCACCCAAATCCGTTACATAAAGCACGATAAAAACCTTCTGACCAAACTGACCAATCAGAGTGACTAAACCAATAATAATATAGACACCAGAGGCGAGGTATGCGTGCTGTACACTATGAACTGTGTGGTGATGCAAGGAAAAGAATACTGTAAACACGGCACACGTTATGTACATTGTTACCCCGATGAATTTGGATTCGTTGTAATTTTTTGGGAAATTCCTTGTCTTGAATGCATAGGCCGTACACAGGAACATCAGCAGCAACACATAGCTTAGATTAATGGTAAACCCAAGGTCGTCTGTGTAGCATTCAAGCAGAAGTTCTTCTTTGTGGCTGATATAATGTTCCTCCGCCTTAGCTGGGTTGACAAGGGATATAAACGTAGCAAACAGTACTTGGATGCTAATCAGAGCGAATGTTATAAGCAGTTGCATACGCGGTGATACAAAGGACGGTCTGGCTACAGAGGCTTTTGCGGTGGTAAAAATACGGTATATTCTGTTCACTTTCATAAATAACGGTGCATAGCATGTAACTAATGCCAGACCGCTCACTAGACCTTGCGCATTGCACACATACGGTCCGGGCTTTGCAATGAACAGTACAGGCACGATGAAACACAACGCGATGCCCGTTAACATTACAAAACACAGTTCTCTTCCACTTGCCTTCAGCAAACGGTTCTGCTTGTACTTGATGTAAAATGCAAAGGTACACAATGTTAATATCAGCGAAATGAAGGACAGTACGATTAATGCAATGGACAAACCGTCGTTCCATTTTGGGTAGACCAATTTACGCTTAACCCAGCCGGATCGGTTGGAATTCGGCACCCAACCCAACGGGCCATCTAGACATGTGTTATTCTCTACTATTTGAAGCCTGTGGCACTTTTTACACTCCCAACAACATTGAAAGTCAAACGTGGGAACACTAACAAATATTTCGTGCTGTAGATTGCACTTTTCCGAACAGTAGGAAGTAGGAAGATTTGTCGTTCCTTGAAGCCACTTTATGTTTTGCAAAAGCGATAATTTCGACTTTATTTTGCCATTCACTTTCTCCCCATCCCAGGTCCCCACGCGGACGTATCTGTTGACGCCATCTTGGTTTCTGTAATTCATGATGTCATACATAGCTCTTACCTATAGTTCAAATAATAATAAGTTGTAAAATTGCTGGCCTAATTCATCTGAGTGAGAGGCTCGTAATACATGCATATATGTTATCGACAGGACTGTGGGATGTTAGTCGAGTTCTTTTGGTTGACCAGAAACAGAATACTTTTTTTGCCTTATACTAACCCATAGCCTATCGGAGGTAAGATGGCTATGAAACTCATTAGAATAACAATATAACTCATCTATGTTAGTCAACGTTTATTCATAAATCTGGTCCTTCACCGTCACGTGTGTATTGTATTTTTGCCCAACCAACCGATAGCAATGCTCCAACAATAGGGAAATTGGAAATTACTATTGGTGGATTTGGCAAAAATACAATACACACGTGATGGTGAAGGACCAGATTTATGAATAAACGTTGACCAACATAAATAATGAGTTATATTGTTATTCTAATGAGTTTCACAGCCATCTTCCCCTCGATAGGCTATGACTAACTTCATAGCCCCTTCCCCATGTATCTCACACCCATTCGCAGGCTAAAACCCATAGAAATGCCTGCGGAGGAGGCTACTAACCTCATAGTTTTTGTCAAATTTAATCGTGGCGTTCACAGATGAATCCCAAAAGGAGACGTTCTTAAGATGTTCCAATAGTCTTGTTCTCTTAAATTTCGCCATTTCCGGACATATCCCTACACCTCTCCCACACAGTTCCTTTTGCAGCCCGTCCAGCGCATGCGCAAATGCGTACACGGCGTTGATGACCGTTCGAACTGAACGGTACTCGATGTCAATATTCGTCAGACTCTCGTTGCCATGGCAATACGTCTGAAATGTATGATATTTCGAGGTTTCGATTCCCTTGAGCTTACACCGAAAACGACTCTCCCAAAACTCGTGAAAATATCTATACAAAATATGAAATGAAATCTACTTTAAGAAAATTAATATGATTATTGTTCAATTTATTAAATTTAAATTTATTAAATTTTTACCAAACCAAAATACAAATACAAAACAAAAAAAAAACAGTTAAGAGAGAGGAAAAAGTGTTAGGAAGTTTGGTAAGGAAACCCAACAAGAAGCTATAAAAGCTTAAGTGTTGGGCACCTTAAAATTAGGAAACATTTATCAATTAGATATTCAACATGCAGTGATACATACAATACAGTCAAAATATAAATAATTATTATAAATAATCGGTGCAGCGCAGGGTCTTATCTAGAGGGCCGTGTTGGCCGTGTTATCGCGGCCAAAAGTGGCAAAACACGGCTAGATAAAATGAACGCGGCTTTATTATTTATATAAGGCCGTGTAGGTTCATAAAATAAGGTGGTGCTACAGTACTTACAACAGACAGAATTTCTTCCAATTTACGAAATGTGATCCGTGATGTTTTAATGTTTTGATGGATAATTGGAACTGTATGGTGTTAAAATGGTTTTAAATACCCCCAAGAGTTGCTGAAATAACTTAATATTCTAATGTCACTGCGCAGTATGAGCGTATGCTCGTCTTGAATTTGGTTGCAAAGCATAGAACAGCCACAGGCATTGTCTGTTGTTGGCGAGTATAACTAGAACCGTGAATTTGGCCCCTCAAAGTAATTGACATGTGCACACCATTAGAAACATTAGAAACACGCCCAAGATCTCAAATCCTAGCTAAGACCCTGAATTGCCTCAATATTGAACATTGCTATTTGCAAAATATATTTTTATTAAACAATCCCCTCTCTAGAAACGCGTATTGAGGCAATAGTAAGTGAGAATGACTTCCTTGCCCTAGCCTGTGAACAGCTAGACATTACTCTCAACAAAGAGCGCAAGTATGGAACGCCATGTGTTCAAAAATTACTTAACGTTTATGCACCTGTCAATTGTAACACCCACCCCCCACCTCGGGGAAATGTGGGCACATAGATTTTTAATATATCTATAGTTATCTATTGTCCCACCCCCTGAGGCAGGCTGACCTGACTAATCTTGTCAAATCCCCCAACCCATGGCCAGGGGGGAAAATTTGAAATGTTTTATTGAACAAAGATTTTTATTTTCAAAATAAAAGTAATATCAGTGATGTACATGAAAAATATGCAAATTATTGCAAATAATATTGCTATTCTGTGAGAAAATAGATTGGCTA